TGATAGGATGCTGCAAATTTCTGCTGCTTCTTTCTCAATAGGATAGATTTTAACCCATTTGAAGTAGCTCTTTTTTTGTTAGAACAATATTCATGGTGGCCTCGTTGTGGTATAACGAGGCATGCAGGTGTGCACGGCACTTTTCCTTGCTTAGACCTTTTTAAACAACATAACAAAAAGTGCACACGCGCACACACACACAAATTCATCCCAGCTGTCCTCTTTGACACGCCGCTGATTTTAGCGCTTCATCATTGTATCAAGGCTGGTGCTTTGAAGCAGAGCCTGAACAAAGTGTGCCACTTGGTAGTCATGGTAGCTGGGTTTTTTTTTTTAAAATAAGCTTTTTCAAAGTACATAAAAAGGTGATTTTTTTTTTGAAGATGCATGTGCTCAGGGAAACAACCACAGCAGACAGACAATACATTGGTGACCATCAGACCAAACTCACATTAGCAGAAGTGTTGCCTGCCACCCTCTTGCATGTGGACCAGTCTGTGCATACTTGGACCATATAAAAGAGTGGCCTTGTCCTAGATGCTCCCTTGTGGCAGTCCTGCAAGTGACTCCTCGCCTCAGTTTCCTTTTTGGGTTCCCACTAACTCTATATGAGTTTATCCTCCACTTCATCACAGTTGGTTAACAAAAACCTAGGACAAAAGCCCCAAAACACAGTCCGTATCCCTCACCCCCAGCATGTGTAGTCTTTAAAACCCAGCTTTGTACTCACCATACCTGGGCTCTGTCAGTCATCCTGTGTCCCCTGCTGGACAACCACCACAGCCTTTCCTGCTGGGGTACAACCCCGCTCTTCCCAGCAGGAACTCCCACGGCCTCTCTGCTGAGAGCATCCTTGCCAGGGGAGCATCCCTCACTGCCCCGGGCCCTCTCGTGCTTCCTCTGTGACCCACCTTTCTGGTAAGGAGACCTCAGCGAATAAGCTGCTCCTCTGCTCACCCTTCCTTCAGCCCTCTCTGGCCCTGGGCTCTGCCTTGCTGGCTTAGAGCCAAAACGTATCTCCTGCCGCTGCCATTGCTGCCTTCAGTCCTGGCTCTCTGGCTTGGAGATGTCAGCCAACAAACCGCTCTTGCTGCTCTCTTGCCTTCAGCCCTCTCCCAGGAACTACTTTGTCCCTCTCAGAGCTCTCATCTCCTGCTCTTCCTGATTGAACCAGTCTGCTCTGCTCTTCTGGGTCTCTTTCTCACCATGTCTTCCATATCCCCCCACGTGCAGCCCACATTCTGAATTGGCCCAAATAAGGAGCACCTGGACTGGAACAGGAGTGCTGAGCCTGGTGGCATTTCGTGGGTCAGCTGCCCTGTTACAGACCACTATAAAAGGATGCTACAGCCCTGCCTTTACTGCTCAGTGAGTTTAAAGGGCAGCTATACTGAAAGGTTGTCGTTTTCACATTTGAAAAGCTCAGTATGAGTTATAGGCCAAGGCAATTGTTTTTGAAAATAAAATAGTTGTTAGCCATCTGTAGTGTAACGTACATCCTGACCTCCTGGGTGCAGACAGATACTGCTGAACACATCAGCAGCACAGCGTGTGTCTACACTGGAAATGTCTAATTCAGTGTCTGTTGCTGCTGGTTAACCTGAAGATGAGCAGCAGTGCATTCACTGCAGGATCTTTCATCCCTCACATAACTCTTCATAATGGCTGTTTGAGGGTGAGGAAGTGTTAGAGTTGGATCCAGTTACCTTCATTGTCACTAGGGAGAGCCAAGCACAACTGCAGCAAGTCCTGGAGGCCAAGAGAGATGGATGAAAAGGACTCAGGCAGCTACATGGAAAGAGGAGTCTCTTTTTAAAACTAAACTCCCTCTGACCACAAATAAACCTCTTAATCCTGACAACAGCTTCTCTTTCTCAGTTCCATTCACAGGACAGAGGCTGGAACCCTCTCTGAGTTGAAATGAGTGAACAGCTGCTCCACACAAAAGTTTCTCATTGAATCTACTCATTAAGTTTTTGTCGTTCTTGTTAAAATATGCTTTATTTTAATGAATTTTCAGTGAAATGGAATGCACAGAAGCACCCACTCGAAATAGTCTGAATTTGTCATCCAAATCTTTGGAATTTGCAGTGCAGGCAGTTCTGGAAATCACATGTTCAGTAGGTTTCAGAGTAGCAGCCGTGTTAGTCTGTATCCGC